TTATGGAAAACGCATCACAGTAAGGAGAGGAGTGTCCAAGGGCATGAAATAGCGAATAATTTGTTAAGGAATGTTACCCGGCAGACATATTCCGACATTTAATATTGCTAATTTTGGTCGCCAAAAATCTCCAAAATAATAGCAAAAAGTTGAACTGAACAATACGTAGGAACGCTAAAATGACAAAACACAACTCCGAGACACGTAAACTTAATTTTGGGCCGTATGTTATGGATCTCTTTCCCTTTTTTTTAGATCAGGTAATTTTTCCAAGATATTTTCATTGTAAATTGCGAACAAAATTCAAACTCTAGACAAGTATGGCGTATGAGTAACATTATTTCCTGAACCTATTTCATATAAAAATTTTTGGCACATTTTCATTTAACCATTCTAAAGTGTTTTATTCATCCATCAATTTTCACCGTTAGTACCTTAGTTTTTTGGCAGAATACAATTCTAAAAGAATTACAAAATTTTTAATTTTTTTAATTTTTTCCTTGTTAAAGTTTGGATATCTTTTTTCCTAAAAATGGAGATACCTTAGGAAAATTACCTCATCTGGAAAAACGGTATACAGATCGGTGATCAACGATGATATTTTTCTGACAGTGTAATGGACAATGCTAATGAGTGGGCCAGTCATTTCTGAAGCCGTTTGAGAAGTGCTTGTTTGCGTATGTAAGCTAAGAAAACAAATGAAACTGATCTCACTTTCCGTAAACTTTGTATGTTACATACCTTTAGGCGCACTTAGCAACATAGGTCACCGGGTAACTCAGTAGGTAGATGCTTCTAAGTTTGAACCGCTCGATGCCTTAATTATTAGGAAAACCTCGAATGAAAGGATTTTGCGATAAAAATCAAGTATTTAATTCACCAGTTCTTTGTTTAATAGCCTTAGCCTTTTGAGGTATTTGCAGCTTATTTTTGCTTTAAGAGTTCGTTAGTTTTTGGTAAAATATGATTACAACGAGCGAGGTCCCTACATGAATTTCTTCACACTTTCATACGTAGCTGTATAGTCTAAAATGCCTAAAAAAGATCATCTGCTATTCTTGATCGTCATTAAATTATATGTTCCCCCATTTATGATGTTATTTATGTATGTGATTGTCGATATAGTTATCCATAAATTGACCGATTTTGTTAGGAGAACGGTCGTCTATATATACCATTTTCGACACCGTTTTCAAAATTATAATTTTTTTCCAATGTTGTTATCGACGTACGTATCAACTATGAATCTATTGTTATTATCGATAAATATATCGATTAATTATTGATTTCGAAATAGTTCTTCGCTTACTATCGATTTACTATTGGCGCTAATATATGTACAAGAGTACAAGATTCGACATTGTTGAAGAAATTCTCTTTAGTTGGAAACGTTGTTATCGATATTTTATTCGAAGCTGCATTGTTGTTATCGATATTAAATATATCGATTATGTATTGACATACAATTTTCTATTATTTACACTTAATTGCAGCATTTATTTAAGTTAAGACTGTTTAAGACTAACGAAGCATCGAAGTAAAGGGAGGGAATAAATTTTTACATAAACAATTTTTGGTATTTTATTTTAAAACTATAATGATTTTTCTCATACCTATAAGTCTGTATATCTTTTATTAAATTTCCATGAAATTCAAACCAGTTAACATACTCTCCTTTTTCCATAATGTTTTAGATGCCTTTGCCGCTTATGCTTAGGGTTCCGAATTTCAGACTTTGATATCGATACTGAGTACTCATTCTGGCATCGAGCTCATGGTATCGATACTTTAAAAGTATCAGGGAAAAAGTATCGATACTACTCAGTATCGGACTCATTGAAATACGTTATTTGGGATACTAAAATTATTTTATTCTTCAATCGTATATCTAGTTATTTCCTGAAATTAAAACAATAGAAATTTGATTTTTGTTTCATTGCAGAACTGGCTTTCACGTTAGAAGTAATTTTAACGTTAAATGTACATACATACATACATATATATATATACATACTTTCACGAACTCCAAATTTTATTAAGAATTTTTGTAAACTTTTTGGGTATGCATTTTTGTAGATTATTCAATTTTAGTATAATAATGTTCAAGTTTGAATTAAAAGTCAAGCGTAGTAGGCTACACGTAAAGTTGAATAGGTTACAAAACTACATACCCAAAGGTTTCTAAAAATTCTGCATTTTCGTGAACTTTGCGTAAAGTTTTATGGCCTCATTCATAAAAAATGAAAAACGTTTATAAACTGAAAAATGTAAGAAAATTTAATTTTATTAAGCTCTTTAAACCTATTTTTATTAATAAGGCCATTTAACTTTAACTTATTTGGTTTATGTTATGCAACAGACTACACGAAGTTTCAGTTTATTTTTAGTGATGGACAAAATTGTATGATAGTAATCCATATAAGCAAAGAAAATTAGGTTGCCAATTTAAAAAAAAAATTAAAAGTGTGTTTTTTTAAAAGTTTTCGATACTACGAGTACTTTACAAAGTATCGAGTAAATTCACCCAATAAGGTATCGAGTATTAAAGTACTAATTTTTATAACCTAAGTATCGATGCTTACTCAATATCGATAGTATCGTTCGTTCGTTATTGGGCTTTCGGGCATGTCTTTAGGTACAAGCTGTCTAACCAATTACACATCTGTCTCTAAAGCGAACACACATTCATAAGTGTCCATACATACACATAACACAGTCTGCAGGATAATCGCATATCCTGAAAAAGAATCTTTGCTCACCGCAAGCAATTAAACTTGTCACAAATAATTGCATTTACGTACACAATCCTAATTCTCACTTCTCGCACACTTTGCACACTCCTTGCATATGCTAGCCTTTTTCACTGGCCGCATACAAAACTTGTCGCCATCTTTTATAACTATACTGACTTCAGTCCGCCAACTGACAGACACTAACAAGACTTAGATACTAGTTAGACATTTGAAGCAGCGAGTCAGTCGAAAGTTGAATAAGAAACCACAAAAAAATAATTGTCATCATCGTCAACAAGACAACAAACTATATAGATAGATCCATGCACACATTTCAAGCTTGTAGGAAGTTGTGCGACACGGCGTATGAGCAATGTAGTGACGGCAATGTAGTGACGGCAATGTTGCTAGTTTATTTGTCTGTTTGCATGTTTTGAAGTGCTCAGTGGCGCTTTGGTGCACGCGATAAGACAAGTTTTATGTACCAAAAGACTTTGATGCCTTGGTTATGTATTGCGGAGCTGGTCAGCCAGTCAGCCAACTCGGCAGCAGAACGAGGGCAACTACCTTAAGCGCTAAATAGTTAGCAATTGCTTAGCGTTTGATTGTGTTGTTGGCTAGCTAAGAGTTGAAGTGGATTACGAATGGATGTCAGCATAAATTTTGTGGAAAGAGCGAAAATGCAAAGACGAACAGCTGCCATTCAACCACAGAGCGTCGAAGCAATGCAATTGGCTCAAGAATGCAGCAGTAATTCCCGACCAATTTCCGTTGTCGGATTAGTACAAAACTTTAAATTGTTGCCCAGGCAGCTGGCAAAGAAACGAAGTAGCAAACAAATCAACAAACAAACAAGTAAACAGTTCAAGAAATAGACAGTTAGCGGGTAGTTAGTTAGTAGGGCATAAGGAGAAATGTAGAAACTGAAACTCAAAAGTCAAGATATGTCTGGCTTACAGCTGAGTAGTAAAATAGATGCAAAATGTGTGCGCAAAAGGTTACTCATCGCTGTCACTATTTTACACTACTTCTCCACCTTCCCTATTGAACATTATCTTCTCTTTACTCTCGCACACTTTTATACTAAGTTTCTTTCCTCCTCGAGTGCAATGAAACGATTAATACTTTGACATCGTCCTCTAGCAAAGTTTAAAGGTCATATGTATGCTCACTCTACCCTACCAACTAGCTTGTGGTTTGTCCATCCACTTTGCCTCGCAGCATTCGCAATGCGCTGGGTATTATTTGCTTGACTTTGTTTGAATGTCCTTTTTGTTTCTAAAATACTTAAAGTTTTAGCTCTTGGCTTGAATTCTATGCATCCATGTATGTATGTATTTATATACATACGTATAAGTACGTAAGTACATATGTATGTACAGATGCGCAATTCATATGGTTGCGTACCTATGTGTGCCGCAGTTGCTGCAACTTTTGTCTTCTATTTATTGCTTTTTGTGGTAAGATTTGTAGAATTTCTTGCATACTTTGGTTTTCATTTCTTCTTCATTTTCATTCATTGTTTTATTCGTATTTTTAGTTTGCATACTTTTGCTTGCCAACCAAGCGTTGGTTATAATTGTTTGACATCGCTGTCAGCGATTTAAATTGAATTGGAATGCATTGCATTGCTTCAAGTCAAAGTGACAAAGGCAATAAACGTGTCAAAGGCTATTAAATGAGAGTGGGGGCCGAGAGTAAGAATGTCTAAGGAATCTTTGGAAATATGGCTGCTAAGTGAAATGAATGAAACTGAGTTTCGGCGCCTATTTGAGTAGAAGATATTGTGGAAAATCTTGTAAAATATAAGAAAAGTGATATGAAGTGAGTGTAGAAACTTCTAAAAAAATAACATAAGAAAATTCGTAGAATTTTGTGTAGTTAAACATATAAAAAATTTAACATTTTCTTTAATTTTTAAATAGCAGCTCAGGTATAACCACGCCTGGTAAAAAAATCTACTAAAAATCCCATCTCCAAATTTTTTACGCCACTTTTTATTGACAATGTTTTCTTTTAATTAATTTTAGTAAGTAAAATAGACTCTCTTGACTGTTTTTTCAACAAAAAATGTATTTGAAATTCTCACTTCAAGGACCGTTTTCTCAAGTAGCTTTTAAAATTTGTGTGCCCTTTAGTCACAAATCCTGTCTTCAAAAAGTCTATAGTTTCGAACAGCGAAACAATTTGTTCGATGATAGAATTTTCATTGTTAAATTTTTTAAATAAATTATATATTTGTTTATTAAATTTCTGCTTGAAACTTACCGCTTCGACTTTCACTTTCAGCTGGCTTGAGCTGTAAAGCACGGTTCATCTGCAATGGAAAAAAGAAAAAACATTTAGTAATCAGATTTATTTTAGCTCTGCAAAAGACACAAAGTATTTTAAAAGACTCTTGGTCAGCCAAGGTAATATTCGGAGATATGAGTATATATGTATGCACATTAGAGTGGCCCTTGCTTTCATGCAAAATTTCACTAAATGAAGGCAAAAAAAAAATTGCTTTGATTCATCAAGCAGCGTTTACCGAAAGCCTATGTGAGAATGTCGCGTCGCAAACTCGCATCTGGTTTTCCAAACACAAAATTTGTCTGCATAACACCTAACTAAATGACATTACCAAATACATAATTACAAAAACACATGTTTCGACACGCATAAATCAAAAAATTGTTTGCTGAATAAATAGTGATGTGACTTTCCATACATATTATAAGGTGCGACAAAAAATCAAAAAAATTTCTAAACACACGAAACAATATACTCCCAAAACTAGTAAAAATGCGTTTTTTGTTTATTTGTCCGACATCAAGGACTTTGAATCTTCAAAGATATGAAAAATTCAAAAAATTATTGAACAAAATTTAGTGCGATGTAGAATAATAATATGGTCACCAAATAAAAGAAAAAATTTTATAGAATTGAAAAATGTAAAATGTTTTTGGTGCACAAGGAAGAATAGGTATTGAAAATGTCCTTTTAAATACTTTTTTTTATCGTAAACTAGTAAAGTTAAAAGGACAATTTTAATGCCCTTTCGTCCTTCCGCAAGAAAACATGTAATTTTCTTTTAATCTTACAGGGTTTTCACTTTTATTTGACACCCATATTGTTATTCTACATTGCTCAAAATTTTTTAAATATTTTTTATTTATTTATCATATACTTGAAATTTCAAATTCCTTGGAAAAAAATCCTGACGTCAGAGAGAAAAACTAAAACCTCAGTTTTACTATATTTGGCCACGAGTTTCATGAGCATATTAATTTTTGTGTGAGAAAAGTTGACTGTCGCACGCTGTTATATGATATCTACATTTATAAACGACCGGCCAGGAATCATTTTTAAAGGAAGGGTTTTAAAGGTCTCGGAAATATTTTTTATTGTACTTTTAACAGCCAAAACTGTTTAGAATTGATTTCCAGGGCGCTACTGAAAACCTCGGACACGGTTGTAGTAGAAATATATATTTTATTTAAAACTATCGGCGGAAAATGCTACAAATGTAGGCTACCGAGCACATGAAGGTTAACATGGTAAACAAAAAATCAATTTATGTAAATATATATGAACATATGTATATGTCTATATATCAATAACACAACCAACTTTAAGCTTTTTCCACTTAAACTTCTATAACTTATTTTTAGTCAGTTCCATCAGCAAAATGCTTTTCCAGTTTTAAAACAAATGGAAACACTTAAAATTGTTACTAGTGGCTTTGACCATCAGAGTCACATGCATACAGTTAATTCATGTGGTTGTAGCTGATAAGTACATACAGATATAATAAACCAACAATTATATGACACCAATAAATTCTATAAAAAACTTCGCAAGTGTATTCTGTTACTTTTTTACTTTCACCTTTTACTATCTGCCTATCAGTGCAAGTCACCTGCAGATTTAACGTTAATTTTATTTCTCTACTGCACAAATGAGTAGCCTTTGTTTTACTCAAAAGCCCTCTCTCCGCCATTACTTGCTGTATTTTACAGCAATCAAGCGCAAAATCCTCAACAAATCACCGGTAAAGTTAAAACGAATTGAAATAAAGTAAA